TTTTCATTTGTTAGCCACAAAGAGACTTAAGGCTGCAAGTGTTGAGTGTGGGGCCTTGTTCACATAAATCATGCCTCCATTATGTGAATGGATCCTTTGTCACTTTGTGTTTGTTTTTTGTTCGTTGACTTAAACTGAAATTAAAACCAGATGACAAAAATTGCGATGAGGCTGTGGGATCTAATTGGGAGGGGAAAAAAGAAAGCTTTTGAAACACGGTCCTTGAAAAGGGAACAGCAAACAAGAAGGCTTTTGAGCTAGGAAGCTGATATTCTTGCCTTTGTTAATGAAGCCCATGTGGCAAAGGATGCAGAGAAGTGAGTGTTGTTCAGTGGGGTGCATCAATCAATGACTGAAAACTGAAATTTGCAGTTATCTGCAGTTGGCTGCCACCTGTGCGTGGCCAAGTCCTGAATGCCATGACTCCTCCTCCTACCCTTTCCTAAGGCCTGGAAGCCACAAACCAATAGAAACGTCCCCTCATCCTTCAAAGACAATATTGCTCTTTGAAGTGACTGTGCCATTAGTGGTTGGTTTGTTTGTTTATTTATTTATTTTAGTCACAATTGCCAGGACACTTACTAGTTACTCAGGGTGATTCTGTGCTTGACCTAATGCTGTCGACATCTAACAGGGTGGCAAGCGTGCAGAGCGAGCCAGGCCAGCAAAACCTTCTTCTGCAGCAACCCCTGGGGAGGAAGAGAGGCCTGCGACAGGTGAGAACGTGGGGAGGGAACAAACCTGCTTTCCTTCTGTTTGCTTTGGTTTGGTTTGGTTTGGTTTTTCTAGTCTATGTCAGTTTTGGAACCATCTGTGAGTGTGACCTATCCCTTTTACCTAACTTGCAAAATTCTAGCATAGTCATTGGAGTTAGCAAGCTCTGACAAGCCCCTAAGAAAGGAGGTGCGCTCTGTTTTAGCTTTCCAAAATCTTTTCTGTGTAGGCTTTTGTATTTTTTTTTAATTGAAATGAAGGTCACACAAACCTCATTGCACTGAAGGTCTCACAAACTGCATTGCGTTACATTCAATATTGAAGCTGAAAAGGCATAAGAAGCAGAATTTCACTAGCTGTTTTCATATGAAGGAGATATCTGAGCCACAGAAACTTTAAAATGTGTATCTGCTAAACGCACGCCCAGTGAACAGGCATCTAGAGGAAGAGATGATGATGACGACGATTTGTTCTCCTTAGTGAGCTACAGACTGTGTAATATGTGATCACGCCTCAGCCGAGCATGACTCTTTCTTCCAATATTTAGCTTCGAAGACCACTTCTGTCACGTCAGAAAACTCAGACTGAACCTCGTAGCCGTCACGGAGCTCGACTTTCGACCACGCGGCGGAGCATCCAGCCAAAACCAAAGCCTACTGGTAGGGCAGCACTGCATTTTCAGAACTAGCGCTTCATATTTTAAAGTACAAAATACTATGTTGTTGTTTTGGCTTTAAGGAAGAGTTAATATGTTTGAAGAATATGTAAGATCTTTTCATTGTAGAAAGAAGTGGTGCCCTGTTTTACTAGTCTGTGTTTGGTTCAGGTTGGTAATGGCTGGAAATTGTAACAATCTACTTGCTCTTCACTAGTGTAGGTTAAGTGAAGTCCCAGCAGTTTCATCTTTTTTTCCTAGTGAGTGGATGTCCTATCAGAAAATCGTCCTTTCAAGACACTTTAATGGTTTCTCCAAAGGCCATCAAGGTGCTAGATATGGACAGCGAACTATCAGGTCTCCTGAAGGTGTCCTCCACTGAGAATGCCTTGGCTGAAACACTCAGATGTGCAAATCTTTAAGCTGCTAGTGAAAGTGGTAGAAAGAAGGAAACGTCACGTTATTTGCAACCATCGCAGTAGAGTGCCTTAAGGGTTGTATATGGAAATAAATAGGAGAACTGTTGTAGTCTTTGCTGCATCCATGCAATATGTTTCCCAGGGTCAGCGCTGCTAAGTAGGGCAGGGTAGCTGTATTCTGCACCATCTAAAATGAGCAACTAATTCTGGAGGAAAGACTTGGAGGAGCAAAGGTTGCTTGCTAACTCTCCAGGTCAGTCAGGATTGCACTGGGGCAACAATGCTGTTGGAGATGTTTGGAGCGTGACACTTGACCGAGACTAGTTAAAAGCAGGAGGAGGGGTGTCAACTTTACAGTTAAGTTTTAGCCTAGCTGCCTTCACCCTGTGCTACTCTTTTGTTATCGCTGTAAAATAGATTCAGTCCAGGGCAGGAACTGGGGGGCAATCAGCTGCCCTCTTTGTATTCTCAGATTTCCTGCAAAACCTTGGGGAAGTCCCTTACATATTTGCATCTTGGTTTCGCTTTAGTTGAGGGCAGTAACGCCAAACTCACACGGGAATTCAATTCATTGTATTCTTCTGGGATGGAAAGATGTTATGAGTGGCATTTATTTCACCAAGCTGTGGCAAAGATAGGTATGCTGAGTAGTTTTCAGGACATCCCTGCCTCTTGCATTGGCTTTAGAATAAGACTAGGGCAAAAAGCTTTTAGATTAGACTCCATTTAGCCAGCTTACAAAGATGGAATGAATCATGAATCCTGTCTTAGCTGTAAAAACTCTAAGGATGCTCTCTTTGCTTTGCGTGTTGTGCTTTCAGTCCTAAATCAGACCATTTTAATACTCAGTTTTCTGTATCTTTTTGTACCCTTAGTGGAGCAGAAGCGGTCAGTGACTTTCACTGAAACCCAGGCTGAGGCAACAACAGCCTCCGCAGCCAACCCCTCAGCTGCAGTAGCCCAGCAGCAGGGCTGCAGCCCAAGCAGCCCCCCGGGGACCAGCAAGCAGGAAGCTCTGAGTAAACCTGTGCTGACTTCCTCGCCTGCCATTGTTGTAGCTGATCTCCATAGCCAGACTGCTGGCCAGGTAATGTGATTGACAGTTTTACCACGCGTGCCTGCTGCTTCATCTCAGCTGGGCTGATTTAAGTTGCAGGGGAAATTTATAGGGAAATGCCTAATGCATCACAGCGATATAATGAAAGCTAGCTTGTGAGTGACGACAGCAGACTCTTCTGTGTGTCTTTCCTTTAAGCCGAGTTTGCCGTTCATCCCCCTACTTTTATAAACCACTGACTTCTAGATCTTTGCAGTGATTCTTAATTTGCAAATCTGTTTCCTGCATCTTCCCCTTTCACCTTCCCGTCACACGCACACGTCCTTCTGAACCTGCTCACCAGTGCAAGTGTTCGTCTCCTGGTCCTCACAGCTTGCTCTCTGAGAAATGGAGCTGAGTATTTGCTAGACCAGTTAGTCCTTAAGGAAGGATTCCTTTAAAAACTCATGACTGTTTTAGCAAAAGTAGCACACTTCAAAAGAAGCTGTTTGTCCAACGTTCTTCTGTGTTGGACACCGCTGAGGGCGGTGTAAGGACAATCACAATTGTCCTCCCAACCCGTCAGTGACATTGAGATCACTTTTATAAGCCCAGATATCTAGTGTCTTGTGGACGAATGTTCTTTGCCATGAACAAATGAAGACACCCCTTACAGAAAATGTACTCAAAAATGAAATGAGGAAGTACTAATGACTGAAATCAGATAAGCCTTTCTGGTCACTGGTACAAATTTGATTCACCAGCAACAGTATGTATCATCATTAGGGCAGAATTTTGGAGATGTATAACCTACAAATGGCTGCCTCTTCAAAGTAAAAAGTAGTTATGAGTGAGAAAATGTTATAGACGTTCCCCTGCATTTTTTCTCCCTCCTCCTTTCTCCGAGTTCTAGCCTGACAACTGGCTCTTCTCAATTCCAGAGCGAGGCACTTCCTACTGAGGAGGAGAAGGAAAAAGAGGAGGGCTTGGAGTCCCGGCCAGCAACGGCACAGAGCACCCCACCCGCACAGGTCTCCGACACCGAGGACTATGCTGGCCTTGAGACCACCAGCTTGCTGCAGCACGGGGACACTGTCCTTCACATCAGCGAGGACAATGGGATGGAGAACCCTTTGCTGGCCAGTCACTTCAGCTTCGCACATGTGGAGCTTGGGGAGACTGACGTCGATCTAGATGAATCTCATGTTTAAGTCTGGGGGAAGTGCAGTAGTGGGAGGAGGAAGAGAAATTGTACCTTCTCCTTTGAGTCCCCTGGTAACTGATAAAAACAAGAGCACTTTATTATCCAACAGCCGAATATCGCTAACAGCCTGTTTGCTATAGATTGGCAAATTTCTGTTTGTCAAATCTGTTTCAGTTCAAGGTGAGACCACAGGAACAGAGGAGAATTTTTTACAAAATTCTTAGGGTTGGGGTGTGTGTGCAAATATGTGGTCCGTAAAACCTTGATCTGGCAATCTGGCATGTACTGTGATCATGATCAGCAGCTTCTCTGGGTACTGTGTGAGGCTGTTGTACTGTGTGAGGCAGAAAAGGAAAACTTCTTTGAGGTTGTGCCCCGGGTTTATTGTAGTTTTTGGGAGCAGGGCTATATCCAAGGCTCTTAAAACTTAGTACTGACAGTCAAAAGCTTGATTTTTTTCACCCTGGGACTATTGTTTCTAACCAGGGAGCGAGTAGATTTTTTTTTTTGTTGTTTTTGAACTGCAGACTTTAGTTGAGTTTACTTTTGTCTGTTGGTTTCATTCCACTCTGTAAGATATTACCCTTGTGTTACAAAAATATTTGCTCTGTAAAACTAAATACAGTACATACCGTAGGAAGGAATGCACGTGCTGTGCACAGATATAGATGGGCAGGGGGCGAATGGTCTGCAGATGGTATAAATAGTCCTAGCTGTCCTGCTTAGAGGTACTGAGTAATTCATCTCTACTGTTTAAAAAAAAAAACAAGAAACCCCATCAGGAATGCGTGGACCTAATGGTACCTAGCAACTGCTCCATTGATGCTGTCTCATGTACTTAGATATAGGGATTTAAAGTAAATATTTATATATGGTATTTTCATGTTCCCATCTATACATATATACATATATACATAGATATATATATACACACATATATATCTACATTGTAAACAAAAAATGGGTATTGCAGGGCAGAAACTTGATGAAAGAATCTATTTTTGGCATGTTGAGATTGTATGTAAAAAGGTTCCATTTTACCTCTGTAGTGTTCATAGCTGCAAGTATTAGATACATACATGTAACATTTATAGGTAGGTGGTGAGGCCCCTGGAAAATCGGCTGATGTCATGGCTGAGTTGTGGTTTATGCTGCAGCATCATGGAGTTAAACTGAAATGTGAATTTAGCCATTAGCTACTATGGGCAAACTGCAGAACAGCTGTGAAATAAGCCATGAAATCGTAAGCAGTGCACAAAGTAAGTGTGCTTTGGGATTCGTATACTGGATTTTTCAGCTCCCGTTAGAAGAACAAGATACTGCAGTTTGTATTCATGGCATTACTGTGCAGAGGAAAATCTTTAGGTCGTCCTAAGAGTTTCTAAAATGTGCTAATTAGCAGTTGGGAATTTTTTTGACCGTGGGGGTTGGTGATGTGAACATACGTGTCATAAAACAGCATTACTGAAGAGACAGAATAGTATCCTCTCCATCTCCCTGAAAAGGACTCGCAGATCTCTTCAACAACTCAGAAATAGCTGTTTAAAATACTGCCATAAAAAAGACAGTCTCGCTGCTGTGGCACAGCATGCAGGTTTGGAAAATTACTGTATATCTGACTGAGGGCTTCAGGCTTTTCAAATCCATGGAGCGTTCACGCTGTGCTGCCATGTATTTGTCAAATGGTGTGTACAGCTCCCATCAAATGTGAGCAATGTGAGCAGAGAACTCATACACGCTGAACACCTGAAGATAACAAAAGCTGTTCTCCCAGGCTTGTGCAGCGTCCGGCTCACAGGTTTTGTGCACGCTCTGCTTCCATTGTGTTGGTGAGAGATGGAGACTCTCAGCACCTCTTGGAAAAAGCGGGGCTAGAGAGGCAAAAATATGTGTGCGTGTTTGTATACACACACACACCCATATATATATACATATATATATATATATATGTATAGGTGGAACACTGGTGTAACTTTAAAGCGCACATGGTTTTGTAGAGGAGGTGACTGGGTGAAGATGGCAATGTCTCAGCGGTGTTCTGAATGACAAACTGCTTGCTCTGCTGACCAAAAATATGCTGTACTGCTTCTTATTTTCTCAGCACGCCGGAGCCAGCACCAGCTGCCTATAGGAGACTGCTTTGGATTAATCTCCTAGCTTGGAGGTCACTCAAAGAATTGCTAAATTCCAGATGCTCAGTTTTATTATTAACAGTGACGCACAAATGAGAGAGAACACAGCTTCACTTTCAAATCCCAGGTAGGCTGGGTTACTGGCAGCCGGGTGGGGAAGGAGGAGAGTTGTAGGTGCAAGCTGGGTAAAGAGCTGAGACGCAACACACACAGAATTCATGGTGCGTTTTATGGAGTGACCTTCTCTGCTCATCGTGAGGAGGAGGAATTCACCTTAATGCCAAGTAGATGGCCCGCCACGGTGTTCCACTCTAATGAAGAGAAAATAACTGTGATTCACTACATTGAATTCAGTGTACGTAATAAATGTTTCCATTAAGGTTTCCCACTGTCACAGGTGAATCCGCAGTAGTAAGCCATAGCAATGACGAAAAATGCCTCTCTTTGAAGTGAATTGTGCTAAAAAAATCAATGCAGCTTATAAATGATGTAATCTATAATGTAGTTTTATTATTCAGGTGGCCCAGTGGATGGCTTTAATTATGCTAGATGGTGGCTAAGAGATTGAACAGACAGGCAGACCGGTCAGTCTGTTTTCTTGTCTCTTTTATTTTCATATTGGTTGCACTTAAGACTGTACTAATGAGGTGCGTACACATGTACCTCAGCTGGTTTTGCGCTTTCTTCCAGTATCTGTATAACAAAACTGGTATATTCCTGGCGTGCAAAGAAATGCTGCTGCTTAATGAGTGTTAGAGGCCTTAAGTGCATGTCGTGTTCAACAAATGTCCGCGCTGTACGAGTCTCGTCATCGCTGCGGTCGGTCCCGCTGCCTCGGCACTTTATGCTAATGCCCGTACTGTCCCGAGGACCAAATACAGAGGAGTGTGACAGCAGAAGGACCCAGTGCTGTGTTCAAGCCTGTCGCGCGCCGCCGTAGCGGTCTCCCTCTGTAAAGGGCTTCGGTATCCTGCTGTTTGAGGCTGTTTCGGTGTGGGACGCAGGCGACGTTCGTTAAAACGAATCCATCGGCCT